CATAAGCTCATTGGACCCCAAACTCCTGTAGTTTCATTGTCTGCTAGCACAGGAATCAAAGAAATGAAATGCAACAGTATGTCTAAAGACAGCATGCATGAAGGAAGGCAGACTCTTCAGTTTGCCTGCTTTGTAATTTTCTTGAATACATGTGCAGTCAAAAAGACCAAATTCTGCCAGACATAGTTACTCAAACCACAGTTTCATGTACAGAAACAAACACTTGGCAGCAGACAAATCTCTTTATACTACCAGTCTTTGCAGAATCCCCCTTGTCTCCTTCCAGCCTTTCTTTCTTGTACCCCATTCTCCTCCTTGTGAACACAAAGAATGTTTATGCCCAGGTCCTGTAACCACTTTCATTGGTATTTCTAACATTTAAAAGGTTTTATTTAACTTTCTTTAAAGGAAAGCCATCAGCATAAATGAGTACCCAGATTCCTTAAAAGAGCATAGAATGACACGGTCACTTATAGCTCTGACTTACCTGTCTTTGCATGTCAGTGACGTTTTGCTCGTATTGGTTGAAGTCATGCCTCTTTCCGTGAGACTTTGTCTTGTGCCACTCTAGGATGCAGCTTTCCAGCTGAGCGTTAGCTGCTTCTAAGGAACGGACCTTGTCCAGATAGGCAGCCAAACGGTCATTCAGGTTTTGCATAGTCTGTTTCTCATTCCCACCCAGGAAGATGCTTTCCCCATGGTGCTCGCCGAAGCCTCCCCAAGGTGCCCCTCCTCCAGCAGCCAGCCAGAGGGGTCTGGCAGAGGAGAAAGAGGTATGTATGCTGCTGGCACCACCATCTGCACTTGAAGGTCTGTAAGAAATTCCTTGCTGGGCCAAACCACACCCTGAACTACCCCTGAGGGACCCAGAAAAAATTGGAAAAGGGCCTTGGCTGGTACTCATGTTTAGCTCTGTTGTGAATCTAACCCAATGTTTGACTGACTAGCACTGAGCAGCTGCTTAGCCTTCCCTAAGCAGCTTTATGCCTTTTCCTGTGGGAGTTTCCCTTCGACGAATGACTACAGCAACAAGATTGTGTCATCATGAAACGTGCTTCCTCTTGGTCAATTCTGAAGCATTTATGAGCCTGCACACACTGTTGTTGTTATTTGGAATCACGGCCAGGTATTGGATTGCTTTCCTTTTGGTTGTTTTGTTTGTTTTTTTTTCTTTTTCTTTTCATATTATAATAGTGAGGTGTGGCTAAAATCAGTAGGTGTGGAACAGGATCAGCTCTCCCTCAGACTTTTTTCTAACCCTGTAGTTAGTATGTTATGCTTTCCTGCTTATGAGGGGAAGAGTATTGTCCATTACAGAATAAATGGAGAGCTGGGGCAGGGTGGGTCTCTCAAGATACTTTCTTTCTGTTGTAATTCTCAGGCTTTAGAATTACAGCAGTCCGTGAATCCTGAAACACAGCATGTCCTAACGAGCTGTCATTAACGTACCGAACAGCTTCAGCCTGTATGAGACATGAGGCTTTAATGAAGTTATCCAACCTCTGCCATTGGACTAAAGCTCCAGTCCAAAGTGAGTAAGGCCCAGCTATTCCCTTCAGCTGCCCATTTCCAGTTGAAACACATGAGAATTAGGTACTTAACAATCTTTTCTAGTGATTTTTTCATGATTCGAGGTGCAGTCATATTTCAATAGTCTTGTTGAAATAGATAGTAACGCAGGAATTTCTTGCTGTTACTAGTATTAATACTATTAAGATATTTATATGTTTAGCTATAGAAAATATTTAGAATATGAGTTTGTAACAACACTCGAAAAATTCAAGTGATTATGTAAAGCTACCAGCCCTAAAAATTGACCTGGCAATCATGCAAAAACAGTCTTTCTCAAAAGTTTCAGTAACCTTCTGTCGAACTTCTTTCATCAGATATAGAATGGGCAAGTCTGGCTTCTGCAAAGATTTTCTTACTCATCATGCTGATAAGTAGTTGGTAAATTGTGAAGTGTTCCCATGGCAACAGCTGGGGTTACTGGCTTTACTTTGTCTTTCAGAGTAGTTCTAGGCGGCAACTGAGGGATGGGATAGAGGAAGAAGATTTGGGAAGAAGCGGAACGCTGAGTGGGCATGGGCTCCCTCAGAAGTGGTGCAGCTATTTTTCCTTATAGCGGTTGAAGGCTCAGCTCTTTAACAAGATCTTACTTAGCACTGTTACTCGTTCTGAATGGTGGGGTCGGAGAGACTGTACAAACCAGACTTACACTATCTTGGAAGAACCCTGAAGGAATCTTTTTTCTCTGTTTGTTTCATTTGAAATTTTTCAGCAGTAAAGAATTGCTGCACGCCGTCCTTTCCTGGGATGCCCCCTAGGCCTCAAAACCTAGGGCAGGTTTTGAGCTCCTCCTTGTGGCTCTGTGTCAGCTCTACTCAGCACCTGGTGATTTTCTTTTTACCAGTTACGTTTCCATTGAGTACATATTCCCTCTTATTCCTCATACGTGTCATTGTATAGAAATGCTAACATTTTTAATTGTTTGGGGAAATTAATCATCGAAGATACGGTTTTCCAATAAGTACAAGGTATGGCTATCACAAAATATTCTGATAACAGCTACTATTAATAGCTACAGTTTGGTATCAGCCCTGCTGCTTGAGAGTGAGAAGAGCTTGAAGCACCAGACAAAAAATGAAGGCCTAACTTGAAACAAAAAACAAATTACGATAGAACCAATGATATCCTGCTGGTCAGTTCATCTCACCGGAGATTAATTTCAGACTGAATTTTCTAGCCTGGCAGTTCAGCAAGGTAATGTTCTATGAAATAGAACATTGAAATATAGATACATACATATGTACATAATATTATGGGAAATAAAATGAATCCTTTGTTTCATGTGAAATTACAGTGAGATTCACAACTGGGCTGGCAGTGAGGCCGACAGTTTGTGAGACAGAATAGCCTCTGTCTTACTCCCTGATAGTTCCACAGAATATCATGCCATCATGAAAAACAGAATTGTATTTTTTCTGGCGAGTAATACAAAACAAAGGTGATCTGGCACATAGGAAGTGTTTCCTCTGAAGCTCAGCCTTTTCAAACTGGAAAAGATGCCACACAGTTTTCATCAACACATGTTGAGGATCCATGGAAAAGACCAAAAAGCTTACTTCAAAACCACACACGGCTCTCCTTTGTCAGGCTGGCACTATGGGACTTGTTTTTAGTCAACTATTTAATCCACGGAGTACAGAATGAAAGCAATGATCAGAGTAAGAAAATAAAACATTGTCAGCAGATGGCACCATTAGATGGTGACTTCTCTTTGTTCCATACAAACTGCTCTCTGTAAGCTGGGGCGCTGCTAGGCAGGCCCAAGCGAGCCGGAACTGAGGAATGCGTAGTCCTGAGTTGCTTTATTTGGGAATCGTACTTGTTTTACTGAATTGGAACATGAAAAGCAAACTGAACTGAACTTCTAGGCTGCAGCTTAAGTATAGGCAGAATATTTTGACACCTACATTGTACAGGTAAATATCCTGCGACCATCACTTGTTGAGTCAGCTCCTCCATCTGAAATACAAATCGATAGCTGCCTTTGGCTGTAGAATTTCTCTCTCTTGCTGTCTGAGCGATGCATATAATAGTCACCTGATTTCTGGATCAGGAAAAAATATCATTTGTACTGCTCTGTTTTTCTTTTCCAGTAGATTGTGATGTTGCTTTGCTGAAGTTTCCAAGAACCTCTTCTCAGTTCTTTCCAGTGAGAATACCAGCAGTATGTACGTTTCTTAACAGTGGTATACCAATGATCCTGCAGCCTCGTTCATGGCTAAACTGTGGGGCTGGTCCCAGCAGTGTAGATATTTTTTTTTTAAATGTCAGAAAATAGAAGACAGAAAGATAGTGGCTCTAAGGAGGTTGGAAAGAAAATAAAATATATAATTCTAGAAATGATATCATTTTTGTAGATACTACTATGTGTATTGAAATACCCAGCAATGAGGCTAACAACAAATTTTCCAAACAGGTTATGTTAGCAAAATACAGCATTCATGTAAATATTTTATATGCTTTTGAAGTTGGGATTTACTAGCCTCTTAAATCTTTATAAGCATCTCTCTTCAATTACACTAGTGTAGATTTGCAGACTAACTTACTGCTGAGAAAAGGCAGTGTTGCCAATACAACAGCTACAGTAATGACACAGGCTGGTGAGTTTCTTCTTTATGTATGAAAACCAAAATAGTCACAGCAAACTCTGCTTGAACAGTTCATTTCACCTGGACCTTGCCTAGTGCTTCCTCAAGAGCTAAGGGAATTTGCCTTTTTGCTGAAGGAAGTGCAGGAACATAAATATGTATATGGAAAAATATTGATTTTTTTCAGAGGTGCATTTTATTTGTGCATGAATTGTAGTCATGTTATGCACTTTGAATTCAGAACAACGAGCTTAAGGATTTTTTGCATTATCTTCTCAGGTTTTTACCGATACTAGCTTCAGATTCCTGGGAGAATCTAATGGCACTTTATATCTGCCTGTTCATCATCATATCTTCTGTTATTATTATTAAAGTTGTTATTGTTGTTGTTGTCCACTGAGCATTTCTCTTCTGTTATTATTATTAAAGTTATTATTGTTATTGTTGTTGTTGTCCACTGAGCATCTCTTGTTTTGGGTTACACGAAGCACTGTGTTAGGGAGGGTGTATGGTCATGTGTATGGCAGTGCCATAGTGACTTAAAAAACACATCAGACTGGACATATTTGCACAAGCAGAACAGAAACTTTATTATGTAGGTTCTTTCCTAAGGAAACTATATAGCTACTGGCAGAAAACAAGCTTGTCATCTCTGACCCATAGAGCCAAATGATCGTGTAAAAAGGGAGAGCAAATTTAAGGAAAGACATCAAGCTGTTGCACATTCTTGGATTACATTCTTGTGATTTGGTGAAAGTAAAAGGAAATTTCTTTCAGCATTAGCCAATGTGCAGATCGCACTGCTTTTATATGGTGTCATATGCAAGAGGGGTCAGTATTTCTTTACGGGAGTCTCCTTTCACGAGTAGAAATAGGTTTTCCATCATCTTCCATGCTCATGCGAACTCTTCCACTGCTCAGATATGCTGCTGTAGGAGAAAAAAAAAAATTCAGCTAGGGGAAAAAAAAATGCACTGCTAACACACTGAAGAGCTGTGCAATGGGTTTGTTTTTTTTGTTTGTTTCCTCACAAGATCTTTTTCACATATCAAAGGGGGAACTGCCTTTACATCTTATCTTCTCTCCCTACTGGTCCACATCCAGTAAATCTTAAGAGTGCACATCACATGTTGGATTTGGATGTATCTTGTATGTTGTGTGAGTCAGCAGAGGAACTTAGGAATCTTTGGGAGATTTCGGTGTTTTAGAATCCCATGAGGAGTTCATGCAATCATTTTTGCAAGCTACTGGTTTCAAAAGTGCACGTAAAATAGGATAAAGTACTATATTTTTGTCTCTAAATGATAAAGAATGTGGTCATTGCAGAGAGAATGTAATAATCTGTGTTAGTAAGAAGAAATCCTAAGCAAAAAAGATAGGCTTATTTAATCTTATTTTGTCAATTCATTTCAGCCCCTCTTTGAATCAAAATTTTTCTTACCATCCTTAGGGTTCACTCCTGACATCCTGTAGAAAAGAAGAAATATTTGATTAATGGCCATCACTGACCCTGTCCACTGAAACCATTGATCCATTTGGGAACCACTGCGTGTGAATAGCCATGATTTCACATTGCTTCTCTCAATGGGTTGTTTCTCAGGTGTGTTGTTACTAGTGTTATTGTTAAGGTGCTTTCTGCTTACGAAGGCCACTCCTACGTACTCGATAGGAAATATGAACAGCAGTCAGACCAGTTCTTGGTCTTTTTATGTCTCTATATACTTCTCTTCTCAAAATGTCATAATCTAGAAACAATATAAGGAGCTGATTCCTCCTCAGAAATCAAAAGTAATTGCATGTGTAGATCAGATATGAGAAATGGGCACTAAAATGTAGACTTTACTAAAGTAAGCTGTGGTCTGTACCAAGTTCTTTTCTAGTTGGGAGTACTGGTATCTGATGATGAATATTTTTACCTCTGTGCACAAGTGTAGAAAAACAAGAGCTAAAGAAATACTGAGAACAGGTTTTTACAGGTTGTTTCAGGCTAAAGGCTATTATTCCAGTGCAACAAGAGGATTATGTAAGACATACATATGGTGCCTGGTGCCTTCTACAATTCATTGGAGTCAAAATGGTTGCATTTATATTTTCAAATCATCAGCACAATTGATCTGGAGATTTAACCTGAGTTATAGCAACACCTGGGATTTTCCGGGCATCTGTTTCGCCAGTAGGCTGCGTATGCAGTGAATGTAATTTAGTAATCTGGAGTCAGTTTAGCAACCACAAATTACTGCTTTACAATGTGTCATGTTATTAACCTTATCTAATCATCATAGGATTTGTATACAGTAACGTACTGAGAGTCCTGGCCCTCCAGCAACTGGCGGTATGTGGCGATTTCCTGCTCCAGGCGACTTTTGATGTCCATGAGCATTCTGTACTCCTGGTTCTGACGCTCCATGTCGCATCGAAGTTCACCCAATTGCTCCTCAACGCTGGTGATGAGGGCCTGAATCTGTGCCAGCTGTGCGCAGTATCGTCCTTCTGTATCTCGCAAGTTGGCTTCCAGTCCAGCTTTCTAAAGCGGAATAACGTCCGAATAGGTTAGCATGCAGATTTGTCCCACAGAGGGGGAGTCTTAAGGAGAGGCAAGATAGAGAGGGAGGAAGGAGAAAGTGTGCTAGTAGTGACTTGTGATGTGCTTGGGACAGCTCCATACCATGCTGAGCTGTGACTGGAGCTCAATCTCCAGGCCCTGGACCGTGCGTCTCAGTTCTGTGATCTCCGATTTGCTGGTCTGTATCTGTTGTGTATGGGTGGCCACTTCACGGTTCAGCTCATCAGTCTGAAAGAAAACAACAACTGTAAAATCATATACATATCATATAAAAAAAATTTCAATTATTTTGAGAAAGGGAGAGCCCATCCCATCTGCTGGGGCAGTAATAATGAGGCAACACATCAGTTTGCTGTTTATTGGCATAACTATACCTGAGTGAAGAACCAGGCCTCAGCGTCTTTACGGTTCTTCTCAGCCAGAGCTTCATACTGTTCCCTCATCTCAGAGAGAATTCTGGTCAGGTCGATGCCAGGAGCCGCATCCATTTCCACGTTGACTGTTCCACTTAGCTGATTTGAATACTCTTTCATTTCCTGCATGGGCAGAAAGCAGAGGGCACAAAAAAGATTAGTCTCTCTCTTCTCATACACTTTCTGCCATCAGCAATCCGTGCAGTGGTACGCAGTACTTTTATTATCAAGCATCATAGGTGGAACACACATAAAAACGTTCATCAAATTTTATCTCTCATCACACATGCTTTTCCAGTCTCTGTATACTCACACACAACACACACATATTTACATGCAACTTATATGTATGTTTCTTTTACTCAGCTTAACTTATCTCAGTGACCTGTCATGTGCTTAGGAGTGTCAAACTGAAACTAATAGGTCTGAACAGTTTGGAATCAGAAAAATGCTTCTCAGGACACACTTTGGATTCTTTTAATATTACAGTTTTCTTCTTATTAAGCTGTAATGTTGTCATTCCGTTTTTTTTGTTTGGATTTCCCCTTCCCCACCCGAGAGGCATAAATTCCAAAGGGAAGTAATTTTCTCTCTGCACTGTTATGGACTCTCACCTCCTCATGGTTCTTCTTTAGATAAGCCAGCTCCTCCTTCAGTGTTTCAATCTGCATCTCCAGGTCAGCTCTGGACAGAGTCAGCTCATCCAGGACTCTGCGCAGACCGTTGATGTCGGACTCTACGCTCTGGCGCAGGAACAACTCATTCTCATATCTGCAGTTTAAAAAAGAAACAAGCACTGGAATGTGTACGAGTTTGTACTCAGTAGAGCTATAAACCGTTGATGGGACTCTACGCTCTGGCGCAGGAACAACTCATTCTCATATCTGCAGTTTAAAAAAGAAACAAGCACTGGAATGTGTACGAGTTTGTACTCAGTAGAGCTATAAAACGATGAAATTTTATACTGAATGTAGGAGGACCAGTGGGCTATAAATGAAAACATATATATTGAAAAAGAAGCGTAAAGGGAGTAAAGATCTTTTTTTCCAACATCCTACTATGACATATGAAAGTACACGCATTGCCATCTGATTTTATTCTTGAGGAGTACATGACATTTCACTTTGCAGAACCTAATAATGATTATCAGCATCAATAGAAAAGTTCTCACACAGGACAGTCCGTTTGCGGTGTCCTCTCAAATTTGGTGTGAAGAAAAGCACAGATTGCCCAGTTCTGCCTAGGACACTAGAGGAGAAAATATAAAGCTGCAGGTACATCACTGCAAGATAAATCAGTTGTGCAAGTATCTTTATCATCTTTTCAGCAGTGTCTGATGTACTGCTGAGTCCATGAGCCGAATAAGCCCCAAATTACTCTTTGTCTTTCTTTTCTAAATTTCAGACTCTCTGAGAGAGAACTACTGCAACCCAACAGCGATCTCTTCACACCACTGTTCCTTTCAAGTGAAAATCCCAACCTATTCCTGTCCTCTTTTCCGCTGTGATTTAGGCTAGTAAAAATAGTTAAGAGCATCGCTAAAAAATTAAGACATGAACTGTAATTTATTATGTAAACAGCTCAGTGATCTGGATGCTGTGTTCTATCAGGTTTATATTCCGAACCGATCCTTCATCAAATTGATTCAGTTTGCCAGGGTTTTTTTCAACAGAAGTTATCAGGAAAAATACCTATCCATAATTTCAAGATGTGTCCTTCAGTGACTGAAGAACTTTATTTTCTAGATAAAAAGTAATACTAAAGTTCAGAAAACTGTTTTGAGAGCGAGAGACAAGGAGAGAGATGACAAATGTGCTCCAGGTAAACTTACTTCAGTCTGAAGTCATCTGCAGCCAGCCTGGCATTGTCAATCTCCAAAATGACTCTGGAATTGTCAATAGTGGCTGCAAGGATCTGGCAATTAAGAAACAGAAAAAGCTTCCTGTGAATAATGGTGAGATATCATGGTCCTGAGTACATAGTAGGTAGTTATTGAGGCTGTAAAACATCAAAGAACGTAGAAAAAAATGGACCTCTGTTGTGATGTCACTAGTTAAATACGCTTTTTGGATTGCAATAGTCATTTCAATTTGTTATGTTGCTCTTTGGTCACACTGTAATTCTTACAGCTTTTATAGAGGAAAACCAAAAACGCTAAGCTCTTTTTCACATACTGTACGCAAACCAGAGCGCTGAGATACCTTTGTGTAAAACAAATTAGAAACATAATTAGAAAATACATTTGTACAACACCTGATCTTATCTGTAGCTAGAAGAATTATTTTTTCAGCCTTTGAAGCCTACCTATCGCATTCTTTACTATTTGATTACTGAATAAATATATTGATAATTCTAAACACATTTTGCCATGTTTTGCTAACTTTTAGTGCAATAATTTTAATTTCAACAAACGTCACATTTTCAGGATAACATATTTGCTTTTTAAATTAAGATAAAGCTACTCTCTTCTGCTAGAATGCTCATAATCACAAGGTATTTGGGGTTGGGGATTTCCATATTTATTTTGTAATTATTTTAGTTTATTTTAAAGAAATGGAATATGCAGTTCCACAATTCTAATGCATTCTTATAATAACACCTCTACATATGAATGTCATACCTTGTCTCGGAGATCCTCAATTATCTTGTAATAATTACTGTAGTCCCGAGCTGGGCTGGTGGGAGCTTGCTTCTGATACCAGTCTCGGATTTTAACTTCTAAATCCGAATTTGCCTCTTCCAGTGCTCGTACCTTGTCCAGGTACGAAGCCAGACGGTCATTCAGATTCTGCATAGTTATCTTTTCATTTCCAGAGAGAAGGCCATCACCACCACCAAAGCCACCACCAACGTCAAAACCTCCACCAAAGCCAGCCCCTCCACCAAAGCCAGACCCTCCACCAAAGCCAGCTCCTCCACCAAAGCCACAGGCTGCACCACCACCAAAGCCACTGTAGCCCCCTCCATAACCACTACCATAACCAGAACACAAGCCGCCACCACCATATCCACCTCCTACAGAGGAGACATACCTAGCTGAAGAGATGGAAACACCCCTGCCACCAGATCCTCCATGTATGCTTGGAGCTCGGCAGGTTCCTCCTGTTCGGATGGAGGAAAGGCGAGAGCTGTTGGTTCCACCACCCCCAAAGCCACCACCATAGGTAGAAGAAGAGCTTTGCATGAAGGAAGTAGCCATAGCTGCAGCACAAGGAGGTGCTAATGTCAGTTATTCAGCTTGGTGTAGAAGAGGAAAGTACGTGCCTTCACTGCCCCGGTGCTGCTTTTATATCCTCAAGATAGGGTGTTAGGAGACAAACCCAACCTGCAGCCCTCCCTCCAAAAGTTCTCCTCCCTAGAGGTGAGGCCAATTATGATGACATTCCTCACAAAGAGAGCTGGCTGTGCATCTCAGGGGCTAGGGCTTGGGTTTTCTTTTTTAATTAAATAAAAGGGATGATTCAGATGAGTGTTTTTTCTTCAGGCTATAGTTCTGAAACATGGAGTTTACTTGTCTGACATTTAAGAATGGAAAAACAAAGTGAGTTCAACCACACCCACTTACCCATTTACAGCAATCACCATGGTTATTTTAAGAACATCGACTTTTTCTAAAAATGCAGTTTAAGTAAAATTCTCCTTTCATTGAAAAATGTGCAGTCATCTGTTCATCTCACCATTATTTCTTCTTTTCTATCCATTTTTTTTCCAATTAAAAATTTGGAATTGAATTTGCTATGTTCTTATTCCTCTTCTTTGCTTGGAACTAGTATTTAGATTTTGGAGTCTGAACTTTTAGTACAAAAAGCGTATCATCATAGCATTGCATGAGGAGCAATTAGCATACACCAATGTACAAGGAAGAGCGGGCATGGTTCATATACTAATGCTGGTGAAATACTCAAGAGGGGTAATACAAGATTGAAATAATTCAATTAAAAGAAGAAATGTGGGAGTACTAAGTTCCTGTTACTTTTGGTAGACATAAACAAATTTGGTTTAAGATGAAACCGTTCAGATAGCAATTAACGTGTTTAATGCCAATATGCACTATGAAATGAAGTAATTCTTGCAAACAAGATTTGAGAACCACTTAGAAGAGTCATCTTAATCCTTCATTTAAAGTGAAGTGGGAGTCTGAAACACCAGTATTTTTCAAATCTAATAATTTGCTAGTGAAATTCAAAAGGCAGTAATTCAGTAATACAGCTCTGTTCAATACTTATGGGATATTATGGGAAACCAGATTTGGAAGATTTTTAAGGAAGTATTAACTGCTTGTTTACCCTGCTGGGGTGTGTCACTGGGGATAATGTGTGTGTAGAGAGTGTGGCAACAGCGTGGAGTTTGAAGAAAGAGCCCCATTCTTTTTGCACAACAAAGTGACATTCTTCAGATGAAGGCCACAAGTTGCAGTTGAAGAAGTAGGGGTATGGTAAGACAATAAATTGGTACCGAGGCGCATAATGGTTTAAGGAAACTGAGGGTTGAGAGGAGGGAGAAAAGCAGGGACCAAGTGCAGATGGGAGGAACCTTCTCTGGTGTCTAGTTCAGAACCACCAAAGTTATTTTAAAATAAAACTTTGAAATAAAGAAGAAAAATTATATGTTTGCTAGCAACGCAATAAGGAGAACGTTGTTTTTAGCACAGTTTTTGATAGCACTTATCAACAGAAAATGACCTTAGAATTCAGGATGGGTGATTCAGATAAACTGAGGCTCATACCAGTTGTTGGAATAAACTGAGGGGTTTTCTGAAATTTACAGTTGAGACTTTAATGCAGCCTCAGGGAAATGCGCAGCCTTTTTACTAGGAACCATGTGTACTTGGGAGGAAAGAAACATCAAAAATCTAGCTGTGATACGCAGCTTAACAGCCTGGTTCTGAGAATGTCCACTCATTCTTCAGCTGATTAGAAAAGACAGGGTGTTTCACAGTTGTGGAAACATGTTTCAAACTGAACCTGGACCTTTGCCACAGCAGTTCAGTTTTGCTGTTGGGCAGATTAATGGTTCTGCGTAGCTTGCCAAATCTGTGTATCTCCAAGAGTTAGTATCTCGGGAAACAAGTTTAGACAAACTCTACTAAAGATAAAAAAGTCTTTAAGACCCCTGTAATGTAAATATCCTGAGGTGTGCATGCTGCTAGAGTCTGTTTAACTCTGAGTGATCCCACAATAAGCACGATCAAATTCCATTTTAAAAAAAATCTAGCAAAATCACTTCTAGAAAATACCATAAACTTTAACAGGAAACTTTGGGGATTTTTCATTCAGTCTTCTTTCACTCAGTCTTTATAACTTCTTTGGAAGCTTGCTGGTGAAATACACTTTGCTGCTTTTTACAGTGCCCTGTGCGTTATTCTAGATTGTTATCAGATGAACACTTATAAAAACCAGGTAGCAGATATAAAGCCGTTTCTTTCCTGTAGAATATTTACCATTGGGAAAAACAAAAATAAATCAAGCAGACAATACAGATTATGTCCTATAACATAATTCAGGAAACCATAGTGGTGGGGATTCTGAGGCTTTTTCAATTTTCTGATAACCATCAAACTCAGATCCTTAGAGTGTGTCTCCCATGATCAAAAGCTTGTAAATGCAGCGTGCAGCATTTGCAGACCTGAGGCTTATCCCTGCCTTCATCTTCGCTATTTGTTCTTTCGTATTAAACAACTACTTCTAAATAGTTCCTAATATTTTACTAGAAATTGCCAGTACTATTTTCAAACCAAAGGAGAATCCAAGGAAAGGTGCCTCAACAAAGCACTGTGAAGTTTGGGGGTGGTTGGTTATGGATCATTTATTTGCATCTTGCTTCAGTTGCTGTGCTTCACAGGTATTTTCCTAAAGAGAAAAAAACTTCACTTTTGAGAGCTTACTTGTGAACATCGGCTCTTCTGGTGAGAGAGAAACGGTAAATACGTCTGTACCTCCTCATGGAGAGCAGACTGCTGGCAAATGCTTGTGTGTATTCAGAATTCACTCACTCGTGGTATTTATTTGTATAGATATTGTTGTTTTATTACTGTCTCCAGGTTGAAGACTTCTATATCAAAACCTAAATGCATTATATCATTTTATAATAGACTACATAAGGCAAAGCTTGCTTTGGTGAAAAATTAGATACAATTTGGTATTTACATTAATAAAAGTTTAGAAATCAAAAGTGTTGAATCTAATTTCATATCTGAATTTGAACAAGTATGTGAAAATCATCTGTCTTTAGGTCAGTTCTAGAACTAGGTATAATTCTACATACAGTCCTATTCTTCTTTTCAATTATTATTTCTGCATTTTAGCTATGTTCTATCTATCATTAAAAAAAAATGGTTACATTTCTCTAAATTCATGAGGTTTGGAATGCTTCCAGATTCGGGAAGCCCCTCTTAGGGCTTTAAAGGAACATCTCAAATAGGTGCTCTCTGTACCGGTAGGGATCTGTGTTCCTCTGTGCATTCTTCATTTAGCTCTTTTCTGCAGCTGGAATGTGAACTTCAATCTACAAAATTTTCTCCTTATAGTCTATACAAGGAAACTGAAGCTGATCCCCTGCTGAGGTAAAAAGAAATGCTATTTCAAGCTTATGCCTTTATTCTGTTCTCACTACCTTCACTCTAAGATTTCTTATCCAATGTCTTGACACACAGTTTCATCCTTTGCACAGTACTCAGCATTGTACTTGTGGTGCGTAAGCTCCTTGGCTTGTCATGCTTCCACAGAGCTTTCCTGGAAGACATTCCCTGACATGTCTATGCTGTGCAGACTCTTTTATTACTTCTGTTAGGGGATTAATGGAGTTGACACACTTTAGCCTCTCCTTTCAGGAGGACAGAGAGTTGCATTCAAGAAGCAGCTTGTTTATCATCTCAGTCTTTGCTGATAAAACCATCACACAGATCTTACATACCTTTAGAAAACGCTTTTTTTCTGAACCATATTTTAAAATTATAGTCTCTGAGTGATTTTATATTAAACATTTCACCAGAAATCCTTTGTTACCCAAAAGTATGGGACAAAATAAATAAAATTATAAACTAAAATTCAAATTAGGCTATAAAAACAAGAATTCTAGCCTTTTCAAGATTCTTTCAAATCTCTGAAACCCCCAATTTCTTTAGCAGGGTTTATGAGTTAATTCAATTCTTGGCACTTTTAACCTCTTAAACACACTTTTAAACTGTTAACCTTTTAAACATCTTTTTTCCTAAACATGCATTTAATTCAGTCTTTGAAAAGAAAACTTTTTGGTCAAAATATACATTTGCAAACTGTCCTTACAACTTATAGTTTGCATTCTTGCAGCACGAGAATTTCTTGTCAGACTTTCACATTTACAGCTATACAACACAAGAAACCTGCACCAGTAATCTCATACTTTGACTGGTTTTGTCACAAGAACTTGCTCTCAGGGAAAGGGATTTGTTAAGATTAAAAAACAGGCCTGGAGTTGTTTGTTCTTTCATCTGGGAAGGATTCCAGGTCTAACAGTTGTAGGGAATAAATTTGGTACAAAGCATTTATTAGAAAGTGTGTCAGCACTCAGGAACAGCCTGTACTGGAGCACTTAATGCAGAAGAGCTTTCTTCTCCTTGCTCTTCCAAAAGCAGACACTGTATAAATGGGTGAGCTTCTGAAGAACCACCTGCATCTCGTGTGTGCCAGTGCTTTTCATGCCACTTGCTCCCTTTTGATTCTGCACTTGTTTCCACCAGAGCACCTTAGTCCCCCTGTTCTTCCCATCTTGTCCTCCTCTCTGTATCTCTTTGCTGATTCTTACTTCCCATGACTGTGTTTCTTTCCTGTCATAGTTTTTCCCTGTCATAGTGAAGCCACTGCCTAATGCTATCATGCTAGAGTTCCAGAGGCTAAGCTGGGATTGTCAGTGTCAGTACTTGACAACTAATGTTGGCAGCTCACCTGAGTCACTGCTGAACCAAAACCAAGCACCAGCGCCTCTTGAATTGAAGAGGATTGCCCAACCTTGATAGAGGAGGTCCATAGCTTTGGGATGCTCCTTGCTATGCGAACACTCCATTAATCTGTTATGAACATCTAGTTATGAACAAGGGTGAAATAATTATTCCCTCCCAAGTCCAAGGAGAGAAGTGCTGAAGGATTTGATGATGTCTCTCTGAAACACAGGCTGCAAGATGATCTACTCTATGGGAGTGCAGTATCGGGGTACTTTTAGTCT